TGGTGCAACAGATCAGAAGGTGCATGGTGGCAGGGGTGGTGGTTTAATTTGGGGCAGACTGATGGCAGATTGCAGTGGGAACAAGGTTGATGCTCAGCCTGATTGCCTGTAAGGGCTCTAACCTGTGTCCTGCCTCTGCTCTGTGAAAAGCGAGCCAGGCCCATCCTCGTGTGCTGCTGGAGCAGAGACAGGGCTCAGGAAGTACCCAGAGTGCTGAGATACAGAGCTGTGCCCTGGGAGGTGAGGAAATGGAGCGTCCTTGCCTGCTGCTGCTTCCAAAGCCCTGGCCTTGTCCCCAGTGCACTTCGTCCTGCTCAGTCGAAGTTGTAATAAAGGCAAAAGGCAAAGAACATGGCAAAGATCTGCAATGAGAGGAGTGGGGGGAGCAGGTTACCCCTTGCTGCAGGGCTGTGCTTGCACCTTGCTGCTCCCTTCACCCACAGAGCAACCTCCCAGTGAGGTGATGCGCTGCCCACCTGTCCCATCCCCTCCAGCCCCGCTCGGTACCTCGATGCCCAGCACGGCCAAGCTGCAAGCCCCAGGGACAGAGGTGTACTTCTGCAAGGTCCTGCCGAAGGTGGAGAAGCAGCCCTGGGGAAACAAAGACCATGGAGGGGCTCTCATGGCTGCAGGGAGCTCAGAGGGTGAGATCAGGGTGGGGTAGGATGGGCTGGGGAACTTGGGGAGTCACACGTGGGCAGCATCCCAGGCTCCTGTCCCCGATGCTGAGGGGCAGTGGGTGCTGCTGCCATGAGCCTGGGATGTGCTGGGGTCAGGGACACGGCAGGGTCGTGTCATACCTGCTCGTGGATGTAGCCAGGGCTCCTGTCCTGGCACTGCTCCCAGCTCAGCAGCTCGCCCGCCTGCAGGACCCCGTCTCGGGCACAGCAAGCCTGCGGCCAGGGCGTCCCTGGGTGCAACTCCTGGAAGCGGGAGCCGTTCCCAAAGTCTTCAGGTCCTAAAACGCCACAACAGGAGAACTGGAACAGAAGGGAAATGCCATCAACATGCTGCCAAAGGTGGGGGACGTCAATTGGGGAGGTGACAGAGTGAGGGGGGAACAGCCCAGCATGGCTCTCAGCGTTTGTCTGGGGTCCATGAGCCTCTCCCCTGTGTCTGGGGTTGCTCTCAGGTCCCATGGGTGCTCCACTCCCCCCTGCACCAGGAACCTCACCGTGACCATGAGGGTGTTCCAAGCGGTGGAGAAGACCTCAGCACCCTCGTCCCCGCGATAGTTCCTCTGCAGCTCAGACAGGAAGATCTCTGGCTGGATCTGTGGGATGGGAGCCAACTGTGAGCACTGAGGGAGCAGGGACAGGGCCACGGGGGCTGCGCACCCACCCTAACCCACCCCTGCCCAGTACTGCACTTTTCCAGGGGATGTGGGGACCCACCCACCCAGGTTGGGGCTGGTGTTGAAGATGAGGGTGAGAAAGGACATTCCTGCAGCGGTCCCGGTCCCCTGGGGAACTCAGGGCCATGATGGAGGAGGAGAGGGGCTGGGTATGGGGATGGTACCTGTTTCCAGTGCACCAGGAAGAGAACGGCCCCGACGAGCTGCGTGACGAAGACGAGGGTCACGAGGATGAAGAACTGGAAGGCAGCAGATGAAGGAGTCAGAAACCAGCCCAACCCCATGGGCAGCTCACCCCGGCCATTCCTCCCTCTCTCTGCAGCCAGCCCTGCCCGTGCCCCCAAGGCTGGGGGAGAGGAGGACACAGGAGATGAGCGTGCAGCTCCCGAGGACAGACACCACATCTCCATGCTCTGTGGCTGCAAGGCAGGGGGTTAAAAACAAGCACTGGCTGCCGGGGTCTGGGGATGCCAAAGGAATTGAGGTGTGGGTGTGCAGAAAGGGGTTTCTAGCCCTCATCATTGCGGGAAGAAGCTTGGAAATGCCACGCAGGACAAGGCAGTGGCGGCAAAGAGAAGTGTCCCCACTGTACAAAATCCCCTGGGCTCTAAATTGAAAGGTTCACAAGGTGGGGAGTGGACTGGGGGGTGCACTGAGGGCTGGTGGAGCCAAGATGGGGAACACCGGTCTCCTGGCTCCTCCGGGGACACCCCGCGTCCCTCAGCACCCTCCATGCCCTGGCTCCCCACATCCCGTGCCCACCTTCCCAGCCGTTTCCCCTCACTCACCGCCAGCAGCAGCGGCCGGCTCTGGCGCACGGCCCCGCC